AGGCAACCTGGCATCCGTGGGCAGGTGGACGGACAAACAGAACGTGTCCCCCACGCAGGGGAGCCTCCCACGGCCGCGGACAGGAGCCAGGCGCCCCGAGGCGCGGCCCCGGGGCCGGACCCCGAGCCCACGACGCGCAGGGAGGGAGCCAGACACCGGAGGCCACGCGGGGTGTGCGTCCACGTGGGTGGCACGTCCGGAACAGGCTCATCCGCGGACGGGAAGGGGGCTCGTGGGGGCCGGGGGCCGGGGGGGGAGACTGCTGATGAAGACGGGGTTCAGAGTGATGGAATGTTCCGGAATCACACGCCAGAAAATGCAGATGCACTTGATGCCACTGAAACACTCACGTTGAGATGGTCAATTCTGTGTAACGTGACTTTCACTCCGATAAACATTTCTTCTCAGGGTTCAGGGTAAAGTAGGCAAATTTAAACACTTGGGGTCCCGGGCCCGCCCGGCCTGCTGGTGGACGCTGACCCCGCCCGGCTCCTCCTCTCACCCCCAGTCCCTTCGCAGACCTGCTCTGAGCACGTCTGGTCCTGGTCCTGGGCGTTTGGAACCTGCTTGTGGCTGTAGAGGACCCGTTTCTGGTTTCCTGTGAGTCGCGTCGGGAAGCCTTCCCGTCCTTGGGCGTCTCTCTGCCTCCTCTTCCTCGGTGGCTTAGAGCTCACCAGCCCCTTCCTTGATTTTTCCTAATTTGGGTTCCTCTCTCCGCCTTGTAAGGACAGCAGCCTCCTCAGGTGGTGCCCTGCGGACTTTGGAGCCGCCTGGGTGGTAGGAGGGGGCCTGAGCAGACACCGTTAAAGGGGCAAAGGTCGGCCCAGGGGCCCTGCCGGCCGGCGGTTGCTTTATAGCCTGGGCCCCTCGGCCTTGGGCTGGATGCCGCCCCCGGGCCCCTGGGACAGGCTGGGAACCGGTGCACTCTTGCCCAGGTGGGGCCTCCCGGCACTGTGACCTCTCGGGGCCCAGTCATGCCTGGGAGGGGGCCCTGGTGGTGCCCTCGCCACATGAACACATCCCCAGGCCAGGCCCCTCTCCTTGCGGGTTAGGGGTGGCCGTGAGGGGCCTTCTCCCCCCATCTTCCATGTTGGCAGGCCGGGGAGAGGGTCCGGTGCCGTGGGTGAGTCACCTGGCTCCCAAGGGGTCTGCTGTCTTCTCTGCGGGGCGGCTGAAGGACCCCCCCACCCCCCAGACACACACACAACTCGGCCGGCTCCGCAGCATGACCCCACTGACCAACGAGGAGTTTCTTAGCAGCCCAGACAAAAATGCTCGTTAGCCACAAACAAGAATTTCCTGTTTGCCCATTCGTGCGCTCGGAGGGTGGGGGGTGGTTATCTGGCCACTACCTGAGCCTTCCTTGCCTTATCTGCCTCCAGCTCACGTGGCCGCATGGGGGGCTGTCCCTCAGAAACCCGCGGGAAGGCCTGGGGGCTGGAGCCGAGGGGGTGGTGGGGACACAGGAGACCGTAGGGCAGGGGGCTCCCGCTCACACTGCTGGGAAGACCTCTCTGGCTGCTGAGTGGGGTGACCAGGGGGGGCTTGGCCCTCCCCACTCTGTGCCTCAGTCTCCTTTTCTGTGAGGTGGGTGGTGCAGGTCTGGGTCAGCCCAGCCTTGGTGATGAGTGGCCCGACACCCTCTGTCGCCCTCAGCCGCAGACGGGCCGAGAGACAGGCTGAGGGGCCTGCGGGGGCGCTGGGCGGGTCCCTGAGACACCAGCGGCTCCGGGGTTGGAGAGGGAGGGCCTCCTGGGCCGGGGAGGGAGGGCGGGGCCCGGGGCCTGGGAGGGAGGGGCTGCCCCACTTCTCGGGTGGAAAACTGGAGGCCTCCAGCCCAGGCTCGCCCATCCACATCCCCCATCCTCGAGGTTCTGCACCCATTTCACAGGTGAACAGACAGACTTGGCCGGCGCCGGGTGGATGCAGGGCGGACCCAGGGTCCCAGGGTAGGAAGTGTCGGGGTGGAGCCGGCCTCCAGCCCCTTCCTCTCCCCCACCCACGCCCCAGCGCAGGATGTCGCTCCCCCAAAGCATGAGCCTTGCGGGGCACATAATGGGTTTGGGAAAGGGTAAGCAGCCCCATCCCCGTGGTGCGCCGAGCAGTCAAGGGCGTCTGTTAAGCAGCTGCCATGTGCCCGGTTGTAGACGTGGGGCCGTGGAGGGACCAGGGAGCAAGAGCGTCCGTAAGCGAGAAAATCGCACGCCACCAGTACATGTGTCCCCCGAGAGAGCAGAGCGCGTGCCGCGGGGATGGGGCGGCAGCTGTGAATCCAACGGGCGGGGGCGCGGCTGGGGACAGTGGTTGAGGAGAGACCAGGCCAGAGGGACCGCCAGGTCTCCCGGAGGTGGGCCTGCCTCTGCGCGCAGCAGCTTCCAGAAGCAGTAAGACGTCTGCAGGGAGGGTCTGCAGACCCTCGGGGGTGCTTGGTGTCATTACTTCAGGCGGGAATCCCGTGATCGGAGCGCCCCGCGTGCACAGCCCCCCGGGGAAATCAGGCTGTAGGCTCAGGTAGCGGGGCTGCCCAGGGAGGGGCTTCCGGAGGGTTTTCCCGTCTCTAGCCGGGGGTTGCGGCTGTGGCAGGCCACCCCTCTCTGCGCCTACCGGCCCACCGTGAGCGGGGCAAGGTTTCAGCCTGAGAACCCAGGCAGGACAGAGGCCCGGGCTCCGCACAGGGTGACCTGGAGCCCTGTGAGGACAGACAGCGGGCCCGCCGGCCCACAGCGGGGGGTCTGGACGCCATCCCCCGTGCCCCCATCGCTCCGGTCTGTCCAGGGCGGGGCGCATCCTGCAGGGGAGCGGAACTTGGGGCCGGAGCCCCATAAAGCGGGGGTGGCCTTTACTGCCCCTTTGTTGCCAGGCTGCAGACTTAAAGCTGCCTCCTTCCCCGGCAGCCGGGGGCCCGGCACATCCCCCTTTATGGCCCCAGACACAATACCCTGGCCCCACGGGGGTCTGGCCGGGCCCTGCCACAGGTCTGTCCACCCACCATTTGGCCTAGGGGTTGACGGCCCCCCACCAAGCCAGCTGCGCCTGCTGCCAGGTCTCCGTCCTGAGCCTCAGTTTCCCCACCTGGAACACGGGTGTCACGGTGGCTCTGGGAGCTCAGGGTGAAGCTGTTGCGTTGATGGCGAGGCACGGCAGGGCGCGGGGAGCACTGCGGTCTCTCTGAGGGCTGGGTCCAGGGAGGGTTCTGGCAGGGTGGACCCCCCATCCCCGCGCGAGGATCTCGTGGGAGATGTTGCTCCTGTCAGGAGGGGCCTGTGGTCACTGAGCCCCACGGGACTCACCATAACAAGGACCACGGACTGTGGTGGGGGGCGGCACTGAAAGCAGCAGGAATCTGTCCTCCCGCATTCTGGAGCCAGAGGTCCGAGATCCGGGGGGGATCGGGGGGTCCTTCCCGTCTCTTCCAGCATCTGGCGTAGCCACATCACTCCACCTCTGCCCGGTCCCTGCGTGGCCTTCCGTGGCCGCGTCTCTCCTTCCATAAGGACACTTGTGGTCGGATGAGGGCCACCCTACCCCGAGTACGACCTCATCTTAGCAGATGACGTCTGCAGAGACCCTAGTAGACAAGGTCGCGTCCAAGGCTTGTGCAGAGGCGAATTTTAGGGCACCTGCCGTCTGGGATCCCACTGAAGCTAAGCAGGTCGGGGCTCGTCGAACGACTGTTCGTTTAGCAGCTGCTGTGTGGTGACCCCGTCTAGACTCTAGTGACAAACCAGACGAAGCCCCCGCGGACGGGCTGACGGGAGACCGACCCGCGTGTAGTCCCGTGTGGCGGGGTGTGTGGGCAGGGGACGGGTGCACGCCCACGGGGAGGTGTACCTGCAGGCCACACGCCCTCAGGCAGGGGGAAGTGCGGGGCCTCCCTGACCACCATAAATCAGCCCAGGAATGCGGCTTGCCGGCCTGGCTGGGGCAGGGCAGAGACAAAGACCCAGCCTGGACCACCCTGGCCTGTGCCGGAGGCCCCACTATGTCTCCGTTCCAGGGTGGGGAAACCCAAGCCCAGAGAGTGCAGGATGGCTGAGGGGCAGCCAGCCCCAGAGACCCTGCGTCCCCAGGCCCCGGGGTTAGGCACAGGAGCTGGGCATTGGTGTGTTCTTGGGCCCTCATGATGGACTGTCCCGGCCGGCTGATTGGTGGTTTCAAGGCCCCCCAGCAGTCCTGACCCCTCTGGGTCTATTCCCCAGGGCTTAATTTGAGGGCTGCTGTTTGCTCCTGGCCCCGCCCCCCAAACTCCACTCCCCACTTAGCTCTGCCGCCTTCCCCCTGCCTGCCCGTTCCTGGGAGCTGAGGATCAGAATGTCCGGGGGCCCCCCAACCGCCAGTGCAGGGACGGGTGAACCCCAGCAGCCAGTGCCCAGGACAGAGTGGGCCGGGAGGCCCTGACGTCCCCAGGCTCTGGACTCATGCCTGCCTCTGGGCCTCAGTTTCCTCATCTGCAAAATAGGGAGCCACCTCTCGGGAGCAAAGGCAAATGTGTGACTCGCGACAGCACCAGGATGCGTCCCCTGTATGGCGATTATCTACCTGGGCGCCGTTTGTCTCGGCCAGACTGTTTCCCCAAGCGACGTGTCCAAGACCCGAGAATGAGGCCTCGCTCGAGTCAGGGGCCCTGCAGCTGTGGTTACTTAGGGAGCCCTCGGACGAGGTGGCCTGGTCCAGCAGGCAGTGTCCTACCGCTGCACGGAGGGAGTGTGCGAAGCAGAGGCAGATGCTGGAGGGGCGCCTGGGGCCCCAGAGCGGGGGGAGCAGCAGGGACCATGGCCTGGAGCCGCCGGGGGGGCCCAACCCTGACGCACCTGGACCTGGGCCCTGCCCTAAACCTCTGTTCTGAGCTGCCTGGTGTGTGGCTCGGTGGCGGCTGCTGCTGGAGATGCACGCGGGGATCGGCGTCCTCCTCTGAAAGCGGGGGTGGGCCCCTTAGGCTCCGTGGGGACGCAGCGCCTGTGCCCAGCTCTCACGCTAACTGACCCGTCCTGACCCCACAGCTCTACGAACTGGACGGGGACCCCAAGAGGAAGGAGTTCCTGGATGACTTGTTCAGCTTCATGCAGAAGCGAGGTAAGGCTGCTCACCGAGAGTCCAGGGGGGGGGGGGGCCCCGGGAAGCGGGCCGGGGGGGGGTGGGGCTGCTTGGCAGTCAGGTCTGATGGGGTAGGTACAGCCGGGAGCATCTAAGGGGTGGGTCCTTGGGTAGGAGGTCTCACGTCCCCAGCCCAGAATTGCCGGCCCAGACCCGTGGTGTGATGGGGTTCCCGCCCCTAAGGCCCCCCGCCACCCCCAGGGTCCCCTGCAGCAGAGCTGGCCTGCAGGGAGCAGGGTGGGGTTTCCGGGAGGGCAGCGGGCACTGGAACAGTAGAAGTTCCTCGAGTTGGCTTCCCGGCCCCGTGGCCCCTGGTGTGAGGTCCAGTCCCAGCCCCTCCCCTGCGCCTACTGGGGCCTCAGTGCCCCTCTCTGTAAGATGGGCCATAAGCAGCTCGCACCGTGTGGCGGCTCCCCAAACGTGCCGAGCGCTGGGCTGCATTTATCAAGCACCAACGGTGTGCCAGGCCCACCCTCGGCCCACCTGGGTCTGGGGTGAGATGGATGCCATAAATGGCCCAGCCTGGGCACAGGGAGCAGGGACTGGTCTGGGTGGGTGTCCTGGTGGGGAAACCGAGACCCAGACACTGGAGGGCATCCGCGGGGTTCAGGGTAAGCCAAGCCCAGAGAGGACCTGGGGCAGCAGGAAGGGCCCCACAGCCCTACCCGTAGCTTCAGCCTCAGCTCAGGGCTGCCACGGGGCAGAGAGATCCGGCTGGACGGACGGACAGGGGGCTTCTAGAGGCACCCGCTGCAGGTGGGGCTGGTCCCTCTGACCAGAGACAGCCCCCTGCCCCCGTGGGAGTTATTGTAACGCTTGCTGTTCAGGGAAGGGAACTGAGGCCCAGGGAGGGGACGTGTCCTCTGAGCCCTGGAGGCAGGAAGGGCCGGGGCCCGGCCAGGGTGGTGCAGGGTCCACTTGGGCCCACTGCAGGGGCTGGCCCTCGGCTGCTTTGTCCAGGGCCCTCTGCATGCCCCTCCCTCCCCAACAGCCTCTGTAAACACAGGCCCCACAGCCCGGAAGGGAAGGAGATGAAAGGGGAGGGGCCGCGGCCGTCCCATTAACCCCTCCGGTGCCGTGCCCAGGCCGAGGAATCCAGACCCGTCCTGGGGTGGGGGCCCCCTCCTTATCGCTGGGAGCAGTCCCAGCCAGGGCTGGCTGCCCACTGTGTGGGCAGAGAGATCCTCCCCCACTCTCTTTATCGACCCATCCACACCTGCCAGAGCCCCCCACCCCCCACCCTGCTGGGGGGCACGGAGCCCCCCATCCTGCCCAAGACTGGGCCTGGTGTCCTGGAGGTTCAGAAAGTAGGGTGAGGTGGGGGGGCCCCAGACACAGCAGTGCAGCCTGTGGGCACTCAGGGCTCTGAGGGTCTGAGTCCAGCCCTGCCTCTCTCGCCAAGCCAGGCTCCCCTGGAGGGCAGGGGCCAACAAACTCCTGTGCATCCCTCAGAACCCAGCCCAAGTCCCCCTCCTCCTTGCTGTCTTCTTGGATGCTCGCCGTCTGTAACGGGCGGCCTCTGGGGCTGAGGGTCTGTGGGGGGCCCCCCACCCCCACCCCCGGACACCGTGTCCGGCATCCCACAAGCCCTTCTTCACTCCAGGCGGAAAGTTCTTTTTTTCCCCACGTCACAAAGTAAAGGCCTCTCAGAATTCTCTGGGGGCTGGGAACACGGGAGGGGTCCTGCCTGCACCCCGCCCTCCTGCTGTTTCCTTGAGGACCTCCCCACCCTTCCTTATCTCCCCCACGGCCCCTGTCCTCCACCGGTGCCTCTCTGCTCTCCGCCCTGCTCCTTCTGTAAACATCCGATCAGGCCTGGCTGCAGAGCAGAGCGCGGGCGCGGGGTCCCCAGAGGATCTTTTGTGTGATTCTTTCTGTTCTGTCCCAGTGCAGAACCCATGCCGGTGTCCCGGGTGGGCCGGGGGCTGGGGGAGCCCCTGACACGGGGGGTTGCTTTTCCCTCTCTGCCTCTTGGGCTGGAAAATGGAATAGGGGAGGGGTGGGGGGTCTGAGCCGCAGCTCCCTCTGCCCTCTCCGGGTGGTCCTCTGTTGGTGGGGGTTTTGAAACCTGGAGGAAAAGGCAGACGTGGCCACGGGTGGCCGGAGGTGGTTCTAGAAGCTCCGGCTCGGGGTGGGGGGGGGGCGGGGAGGACCAGGAGTCAGGGCCCCGGGGGCGCGGGCCAGCTGGGCCGGGCCTTCTCCGGGAGCCGCAGCCTGGGGCCTCCGTTTGCCCATCTCCAGGGGGGCAGTGGCTGTGGCACGGGCCATGAGCACCCGCCATGTGCCAGGCTGATCAGAGCCGGGGACTCTGGGTGACAGGACAGCAGCAGGGGGCCACAGACTGCCCCAGGGTTGCACCGGCAGGGGGAGGTCTGACAGGGGGCTTTTGCACCCCCAGCCAGGAGGTCGCCCCACAGGCCGAGCTGAGGGCCCCGGCACGAGGGGGACAGGGACAGCGGCAGCGGCTTGAGGCTCCCCTGCCCGGGCCGGCCCACCGCCCCCCTCTCTAAGCTGTGGTGGCTGAAGGGAGCTCCTGCCTCCTCCCGGCCGCAAAGCCCCCGGGAAGTGGAAACGGAAGCGGGAAGCGGGAGGGTGCGGGCCTCTGGGAACCGTGCAGTTGTTTCGGCAGCGTGGTGGTGACGCAGGGGGTAGAGCTAACAGGTGAGATCAGCCACGAGCCCAGATCACTGATGGAGAAGCAGGCCTCTCAAGGGGCGGCCCCCCCCGCAGTCCTACCCCCCAGGAGACGCAGGGCCGCATCAGGAACGTCTGCTGTAGTCACGATGGGGGTGGGGGGCCACCGAGGAGGTGGGGCCAGGGACGCGGCTCCGCATCCCCAGCGGCCGGGATGCCCCCCAGAGAACAACCTGCCCCGGTGTCCCCGTGTCAGGAGAGACCCCTCTCTGGACGGGCACGTCAGCCACAGCCACAGACTGTCTGTCTGCTGCGCGTGGGGCTCTGGTCCCCCATGGCAACACCCCCAGCTCACCTGCGCTCCCTGCCCCTCCCCTGCAGGGACGCCCGTGAACCGCATCCCCATCATGGCCAAGCAGGTGCTCGACCTGTTCATGCTGTACGTGCTGGTGACCGAAAAGGGCGGCCTGGTGGAGGTCATCAACAAGAAGCTATGGCGGGAGATCACCAAGGGCCTCAACCTGCCCACGTCCATCACCAGCGCTGCCTTCACCCTGCGGACCCAGTGAGTGCCCGCCATGGCCCGGGGCAGGGGAGGCGTTCGGGGCGGCCATGGAGGAGCCCGGGGTGCGGTGGCCGCGGACCCCAGAGGTGGTCCTCACACCCGCAACATCAGGTGGGGTGTGAGGACTACTTCGGCTCTGGGGTTACCTGCTTGAGTATGAGGGATCAGCAAGAGGAGCCCTGGGGGCCGGGGACGTGTCCTGGGGCGGGCGCCCAGCCGGGGGGCAGCCGGAGTGCAGGCCGCAGGTCTGAGGCCGCGGAATGAAGCTGGGCGGTGGCGTGTGTGTGGCGGGGGGAAACGCGAGGTGTCCCGGTGCCATCCTAACCCCCTGCCCCTGCGCACAGATACATGAAATACCTGTATCCCTATGAGTGTGAGAAGCGCGGCCTCAGCAGCCCCAACGAGCTCCAGGCCGCCATTGACAGCAACCGGCGGGAGGGCCGGCGCCAGAGCTTCGGGGGCTCTCTCTTTGCCTACTCGCCGGGCAGTGCCCACGGCATGCTGTCCTCACCCAAGCTGCCCGTGCCCTCCCTGGGCCTTGCCACCAGCACCAACGGCAGCTCCATCACCCCCGCTCCCAAGATCAAGAAAGGTGAGAGCCGCACGCGCCTGGGGCCTGACCTCAGCTCCGCGCGGGCCGGGCTCTCTGACCCCGGTGGGGACACCGGTGGGGTGTCCGCGCGGGCCGGGCTCTCTGACCCCGGTGGGGACACCGGTGGGGACACCTTTCCCCCTCCAGGTAACAGGACGCTGAACCCCAGCGTTGGCACAGCAGAGGGGCCTCCGTCCGCCGGTGCTATGTCCGCGGCAGACGTCACTAGCTGATGGCCGTTTCCCAGCCCCGTAGGGGGCAGCCGTCGCTAATGGGTGGTCCCGCGCCAACACAGGCATTAGAGAGCGAGCATGGTCTTCCCAGCCCGTGCCCATGGCAGACGTGACCAGTCGACCGCTGTCCTCCCGGCCCGCACAGTGCCCGTGTTGCCGACTGAGCCCCGTAGTCTTTCCTGATCCGCGGCTAAGGAATTCCCGTATCATTGGCCCAGGGCTCGGCCTGTGGGGGACCGTGTTCATTGCCCCGTAGGTTCTTCCAGTCCCTCGCCCCTGGCAGACATCATTAGCCGATTGCTCTATTCTTTCCCCTGTGAGGGTTCGAACGTTCTCCGCACGCCGCCTGGCAGGAGCCACGACCCTGTGGCCTCCCAGGCCGACCTTTCACCCATCCGTGGCTTGGTGCCTCCTGCTGCGGACCGTGGGGAAAGTTACCCTGTGTCTGTAGGTTCGTAGAAGTGGGGGGCCTGCCATGCATCCGTGCCCAGCGGTCAGTGGGCCCAGATTTCAGGGGTCCGCCAGGGAGCCCCCTGCCCGTGGCCGGGGTCACCAGTCGGTGACAGCCTTCCGTCCCGCGGAGCCACTGAAGCCTTCCTAACACAGAAGCGCCAACAGCACACGTGGGCACGCGGCCTCAGGCTGAGTCGCCCGAGTGTCCGTTTCTCCTCCGCCACACGGGCTGTGACCCCCTATCCTCTGGGGTGGCCTGAGGATCCAGGGTGATCCCCACAGTGTAGACTGGTCGGATCCGAAGCGAATGGGGTCTTCCTAACCCACCGGCTTATTCAGTCCTCTGAGGACCTCAGTTTACCCACCCCACCCCTGGGGAGCTCCGGCGGTGCCCACGAGTGGTTGTCAGCCATCCACGGTGCGTGAGGCCCCGCGCTGGAGCGGGGGAGAGGGTGGTGGGTGGGAATGAGCGTTTCCTGACGGGAGGGAGCCAGGAGGCGCTACGTAGCCGTGGAGGGCCCGCGCTGATGGGTCCAGGGGGCATCCGAGTGCGACCAGAGGAGGGGGTCAGAGCGGGGAGCACCGCAAAGCCTCCAGCCAAGGGCCCGGCACAGGCAGGGGAGGCCGCGCCAGGCAGCAAGGGAAGGACACGGGGGGGAGCAGTTGGGGGAAGAAGAGACAGCAGGTCACAGTGGGACACATTCCTACCACAGAGGAGGGGAGTGGGTGGGAGCTGGTCCTGGAGCTGAGCTGCCCGGGTTCGAGTCCCAGCTCTGCTCCTGCGGCTCTGTGGCCTCGGCAAAGCCGTTCCCGCCAGGAGCTTGGGCTCCCTCAGCCGTGAAGTGGGGGTGGGAGCGTGGGGCCGGTCTGGGGTCGTTGAGACGGCCCCTCGAGCCGGGCCGTGTTGAGCGCGTGAGGACGCGTGGGGAGGCCTCGCTGCTCTCGCCAGTATCGGCCGTGACACACGCTGTCTCAGTCTCTCGGGAGAACGCCCGCGGTGAGCACAGCTGTGCCAATGACGGTGTTACGGCCACGGTGGTTTCCAGCACCGGGCTGACCTCAGAAAGGGTCCTCCAGCACCCCTGTCTGTCCCGGAGCCTGTCCGCTTTCCCGGAGAGGGCGTGCACGCCCCGCGCCTTCCTGCCCCGTGCAGGAAGGCAGGACCAGGCTCCTCCCGTGTCCATCTGGCCACCAACTCCTCTTCTCTCCCGTCTAGAGGAGGACTCAGCCATCCCTATCACGGTCCCCGGCCGCCTGCCGGTCTCCCTGGCAGGCCACCCCGTGGTGGCAGCCCAGGCGGCGGCCGTGCAGGCGGCAGCAGCCCAGGCAGCCGTGGCCGCACAGGCAGCTGCCCTGGAGCAGCTGCGGGAGAAGCTGGAGTCCGGGGAGCCTCCTGAGAAGAAGATGGCCCTGGTGGCTGACGAGCAGCACCGCCTCATGCAGCGAGCACTGCAACAGAATTTCTTGGCCATGACAGCCCAGCTGCCGATGAGCATTCGTATCAACAGCCAAGGTACCAGCCCAGCGCGCCCAGACCCTCCCTGCTTCCTGCCCGTGTAACAAAATCAGGGCCTCGTAGTCAACATATGTAAAGAGTGCCCACAAATCAATAAGAAAAACAAAGATAAAACGAATTAAATAAACAGGCAGCAGTGGCTGGTAGAAAATGCCCATGGAAAGCCGAGTTGGGGGTCCACACGCTAACAAGGAGCTACCGTTTTTCAGCCATCAGAGTTTGATGATATCAGATGTTGGTTGGGTTACCCAACCAATGTGCCCACTGAGTCCTGCTGGTGGGAGTGTAAACAGGTGACAGTTTGGCACTCTCTTTTAAAATAGACAGCATTCTTGCCCTGTGAGCCAGTGATTCCGCTTGGTATCTCCAGCAAAGCTACAGTGCGGACGCTTCATCAGTACGGGGTGGAGCTAGTCGAGTCCAGACCACTCTGTGGCTGTTCAAAACAACGGGATGATTTGGGGTATGCTGACGTAGCTTAAGACTTACCATCACGAGAAGAGCAAATTTTAGACAAATGCGTTCTTCTCCAACAAATATTTATTGAGCGCCTACCGTGTGTGCCGGTGACAGACACAATCCACAGCTTGGTGGGTGGTGGTGGGTGGACAGGAGCAGGGCCTCGCCCACAGGTGCTTGTGACTGCAGCCGGCGGTGTTTCTTCTCCCACAGCCTGCGAGAGCCGCCAGGACTCTGCCGCGAACTTGAGCAGTCCCAACGGCAGCAACAGCATTAGCATGTCCGTGGAGATTAACGGGATCATGTACACAGGTAGGACCTGCCGGGCCCCATGCCGTCCTTGAGCGCTCGTCTCCCTGTTCGTAACTCAGGAGCCCCGGGTGCCCTCCGCCCGGCAGGGCTCTGCCCTCAGGAGACCAGAGTGAGGTAGTCCACGTGGCGCACTTAGCACGGTGCTCAGCACATGGCAAGGGCCCCAAAGCACATAACTTTGTTCCGTTTCTCCTACGGCCAGTGGTGTTCCTTCTAAAACACCGCGTGGCCAGCCAGTAGCTGGCATAGGCCACCAGGAGGCGCTGTGGACACCGAGCAGCTTGGTTGCTCAGTGAAGGCGACTCCAAGGGACGGAGAAGGGACCTGTGGCCGCCATGGGCCGGCAGCTCCCTGGGTGACTGTGCAGGGGGTCCGTACCCAGGGCGTCCCGTGGGCCTGCCATGTAATCTTTTCAACTACATGATGTGTTTCTCCTCCTGTCCTCGCATTAGGAGTGCTGTTTGCTCAGCCACCGGCGCCCGTACCACCCTCAGCGCCCAGCAAAGGCGGTGGTCCTGGCAGCCGGGGAGGGAACAGCGGGACCAGCAGCAGCGCGGGCAGCCAGGCCGGGCCGGCGGGGCTGTCCACGCCTCCCACATCTTCTACCTCAAATAACTCATTGCCTTAACCGCACCACTCCCCACCCGCCACCCCCACCCCAGGAGCCTGCCTGGGCGGGGGGGCGGGGTCGAGGTGGGCCACGCAGGGGCCGGGACGGCGGAAGATACGGGTGGGGAGGGGGGTTATCCACGAAGGAGCCACAGCTAACGCCAAAAAGAAAAGAAAAAAATATATACATATATATATATAAAGAAAATTTAATAAAACAGGGGAAAACCAAGGAACACTTGAATTACTCAGGTTCGGACATTCAGAGACGTGAATTGCGAGAGCAGCGAAGGAAATCGGAAGAGAGAGGGGCACGTGTTTCCGAGGGCTGCAGCCCTGCTGGACCAACTGACTGGGGTCTGGGGTCTGTGTGGCCGATCCTGTTTACCTCATACATCTCTGCACTGTGTGTTTTCATTTTTTGTCTGTTTTTTTCCCCTTTTTTCCCCCATTCATCACACACCACCACACCCAGCTCCTTGTGTTGAATGAAACCCCTGAGCCAAGATCAGCTGAATTTTTTTTTTCTTGTTGCTTTTGGGAACTTTTTTTTTTTTTTTTTTTTTTTTTAAGAAACAGTGATACTCAAGATCTATAAGGCTTTTAAGAGGTTTCGGGGCTTTGTTTTGTAAATAATCTATTTTATTCTTGGGGGAGGAATCAAACCTTAGGAAAAGGATATATATATCTATATATTTGTGTTCATTCAGGGAAACTGGACTTGAAAAAGCAAAAAAAAAAAAAAACCCACAAAAAAAACAACAAAAAAAGAAAAAAATAGAAAAAGAAAAGAAGTAATACCCTTCCTATTTTCCCACGACTGGTTTGGGTTCCTGTGTGTGCTCCCTGTGCTGCAGTGGGTCTAGCTGGCAGGCGCAGGACGCGCCCTGGGCCAGAGCCAGGACCGGTGATGAACTCAGGTGCTACGGGTGGGGGCAGACCGGGGCTACCCGGGGTCCTTTTTTCCCTCCTGCCAGAGACTGGAAGTCTTAACTAGGGAGGAGGTCGGGCTGGATGAAGGGCCCTGGGCGTGGGAGGGGGCTCCACCTATCGGCGGCCCCCAGGCTCCTGTCTCAGGGATGAATGTGGCCTGGGGGTGCTTCTGGGGGGGGAGGGCTGCTCTGGGAGATTATCAGTACCGGGGGATGGGGTGAGCCGGCCTTAGCTCAGGGCGAGGTTTTTGGGGCCACGGCATCCTGAACAGCCCCCGCTTCCATTCTCTTCTCCTTAACTTTGTCCCTTCCTTCTCTCTCGGCCCCGTTTGCTTGGGGTCACAGCTGCCCGCGGTCACTAAAGTAGCTGGAGGCTGCACCCGTCTCTGCACAACCCTTCCTCCTGGTTAGAAGGTGGGTGTTGGGGGGCTGGACACGGCTGGTGGGAGGTTATTCCAGGGGCTGGCGGTGGTCCTGGTGAGGCAGCACCGTCTGCCCTAAGGCCCAGGCGGGTGGGGGGCTTTCTTGGCGCCCGCTGGGTCCCCGTGGACCCGGTCGTGTTGGGTAGTGCTCCTCACGCTGCCCAGTGGGATTTTTGTGGGGAGGGGGGCACTGACTCAGCTGTTCCCAGGGTGAGCCTGCATTCTCTAATTGGGCTCAGGAGCCCGGCCTAACGAGGGGGAGGGCAGCACCAGCCTCCCCCCTTCCCTGATGGACCAGGCATCCTCCCCCTGGGAGACCCGAGGAGGGAGGGTCCTGGGCCCCCAAGGCTGGGTTTTCCTTTGTGTGGGGCTGTGCTGTGTCTTTGGACTGTCTCCGGGCCCTTGACACCCCCACCCCCAGCCTTCCAGGAGCGGGGTCTCCTCGCTGCTTTTCCTTCTGGAAGGTTCTGCCCTTCCTTCTCTGGCGGCAGCAGCACAGTCATGGTGGGAGGGGACCTCTTTGTCCCCAGGCACAATCCGGCTCCACACACAGAAGCCCCCCCGCCCCCCGCCCAGTCCTCTCACCCCAGCCTGACCTGTGGGCGCCCCGGCCGGAGGCCTTCAGGTTCCCCCGGTCTTGCCCTTGTTGGGGGGGTTGTCTGCAGCATGTTTCTTTCTACCTCAGGCCTGACTCTTAATGCCAAACCCCGTGCCCTGGCTCTCCTCTCGCCCCACCCTCCCCATGGGGCCCCTCCACCTGGAAGGCCCGTAGGCCCGCTTTGTTCGTGTGTGTGCGCACGGCTGTGTGTGCGGACCCGGTGTTGTGTCGCGGGTCGATGTGGCCTCCCGGATGTAACTCAGGGTGTGGCCTGCTGTTCAAGTGATGATTGTAGGGGACAGGTGGGGGCGGGGCATGGGGCCCAGAACCCCCCCCACCCCCGCCCCGGGTCCGGGCTAGCCAGGGGGCGGCTGTGCTGGGGGGAGCCCACCTGCGCTGGGAACACGAGCAGGGTCCTCCCCCGCCTCTGCCTTCGGTGCCCCATCCAACCCCCTGCCCGCCCCGTCCCTGGGGCTTAGGGAAGGGGAGGCTTTCTGGGGTGCACATCAGCACCCCTTATGCAAACCCCGGTGTGCATGGACGGGGGCAGCTGTCTCTGCCCTGGCTTCTGTGCTGGTCCTTCCCAAGCGGGCTCTGCTGCGAGGCGAGGGCGGAGACCCCAGACTCAGGGTGGAGAGGGGCCCGCTGGGGCGCCCCTGAGCTGGGGGCTGGGCGTGCAGGGTGGGACGGCGGGTTACTTTCCGTAGTTCGGCATTTGTACACCCACTTTCCCATTTTTACCACTTTTTGCATTTTTCTCTTGGCAACCATGAATTCAGCCTTTCATTCCTGACATGTGAAATTTCAGCTTCTCTGGTGTTCGTCAGACGGCGCGGGTACTGCGCCGGCACTCAGGTTAAAGTGAAAAAAACTTTAAAAAAAAAAAAGGTTTAAACGACTCTACCTCTGGCCGGGCCTGGCCTTGTTGCCCTGGCCAGGGCGGCCTGTACCGATTTCAGTTTTTGCAGAACATTCAGGTATTAAAAGGGGGAAAAAACAAAAAAAAAAAAAAAAAAACAAAAGACCAAAAAAAAGAAAAAAAACAAAGAAGAAAAAAAAGGTGTGTGATTTTGAAATTTAAAAGAACACTGAAAGTTTACATTTTATAACATTATTATGCAGATTGTATTTAAACTTCAGAAATATTTAAGACAATTGTAACCCTGTAAAGCTGATGAGATATTAAAACAAGACAAAACACTTCTGACTTTTAACAGAAAATGCCTCCTGTGGTGGTTTTTTTGGGTGTGTCTGGGTCCCAGGGGCGGTGGGCCCAGGGTCCGTGACCCCTCCATCCTGCAGCAGGGACGGCGGCCAAGGGACAGGCCCTGGGTCTTCGAGTGGGTGTGTGTGTGGCCATCACACGTCCGGGGGCCTTGGTGCAAAGTGTCTGTTTAGGGATTTGGGGAGAACAGAGGTGGCAGAGCCAGGGGTGCCCTAGCCTGTCCCCCAGCCCCTCGGCTAGGCCTCCTGCCTTCTGATGCCACTGTCAACTCTGAACCCAAGCCCCTGGGGTATGTGGTCTGCCCCCTGCCCCCTCCTCACTGGGCCTTCCTCTGGGTCTCGGCAAGAGCTCTTTCCCACTGCCTGGATCGTCCTTTCCCTGTGTGCCGGGCAAGCCCCTTGTCACCCTCTGTGACACGGAGTCATGTGTGTGCTTCGTCCGTTCCTGTGCCCCCTGGGCTCACCCCCTCAGCTCGGCACGCTCCATGACCCGACATGGCAGGAGAGGGGCACCTGAAGAAAGCCCCCACCCCACCGTCCCACCGGGCCTTCTGCAGCCTTCTGAGACAGGGACCCAGCCTGCGCCCCCCAGCAGCCTTCCCACTGGGGTCTGGCTCACCTTTTCACATTTTACGATTCAGTAGGTGTAGCCCCAAAGTGGCCCCCGCCCTTTTATCCAGGAGATAAAGGAAAAATAATTTTAAGAAGGAAAATGGCTCTCGGGCTGCAGTTTGCAACCCCTGGGCTCAGCGTATTTGGAAGGGAAACCCTGTGTTCTCTGCCTCCAAACCCAAACCACAGCAGCACTGCAGAATTTGGGCTGGAAGAGATTTTCTGGGGTGTCTAATCCATTTACCCTCGGACCAACCCCCCCCACAGAGTGTGTGATGGGCTCAAGGTCAGCTTGGCTGGACCGAGGGCAGGCCCAGCCTCCTGCCATCTGGCTCCCCTACCACCAGGTCCGGCCCGGGCCAGCCCCGGCCAGTCGCTCCCGCCTGGGTCAGCCCCCAAGGCTGCACTAGGAGTGAGGGAGAATCAGCTGCCCCTGCTGTCACAGCCAGGGGGTTCCCACGCGCCTCCCGTGGCCCATTTCATCCACGGCATTTCCACTCCTGTCAAACGAGTCGGCTGCGTCTTGGTTCCAGTGTCCATGGGCCTTGGGGGACCAGGAGAGGTCAGAGGGCCGGTGGCTCCACCCGCCTCTCAGGGCTCTCTCCTCCCGCCCCAGAAGATAAAGGAAAAATGATTTAAAAAAAGGAGAATGGCCCTTTCTTGCAAACTGGCTCAGCCAGTCCACATCTTCATTCCTCCGCTGAAGAGGCCCAGAGTGGGGGCAGGAGGCCCTGAGGTCACACAGCCCCAGGGGCACCAGGGAGGGTTCAGCAACCCCCCCCCCACGGCCCTCCCTCCCGGCTTCCCAGAGCCCATCAGCTTCTGCCTCCTGGGCTTCGGAGCTTGTGCGGAGGCCCGAGGAGGCTCCGGGAGGGAACATTCAGAACCTGATTAGCAGAGCTGAGGGAGCCTGCAAGGAGCCAGGGTTTGGAGCCACGGCCCGAACACGGAGAGGGTTTTCACCTGAGTCACCCTCCTTCCGTCCTATCGTTGGTGCACATGACGGGGGCTGCCCCCGAGGAGGAAGGTGGCCCTGGGCTGGGACGCCAGAACGGTGGGGTCTGCTCTGGGTCTTCACTGTGTCCCCACTGCCCGCAAAAAGGTGCTCAATAACGGAAAAAGAATAAACGAAGAATTCAGGGCTTAGACTCGGGGGGGAGGGAATGTGTCTGTGCCTCAGCTTCCCCCATCCTGCTTCTGCTGCTACAGCCACACCCTCCCAGCCTTGGATTTGGGACCAGGCACCCACCCCGCTAGCACCAAGGAGGTCTGGCGACTGGGTGGTCCTAGACGCCCCCCAAAGTGTGGCTGTTGTCCTGCTCTCTTCTGACACAACTGGTCTGTCCTCATTCCACGCTCGCTGGGCTGGGGGTGGGGTGACCTCTGACCTCCTGGGAGGAACGCCGAACGCCGGGGAAGGAGGCCTGTGAGAGGCCAGGACTGCCATCCAGCTGTGCTTCCCGGCGCGGCGCCTGCCCCTGCTGGAGTGCCCACCACCAGCACACTCTGGGCACCAAGCTTACAAACCCATGACCCACCTCTGCTGCGCCTGCCCCGTGTCCTGGCATCCGGGAACTTGGAAACCTCCAGGCCTCCCGGAAGCAGAGACAGACCCAGGACCCAAATTCCACGGCTGTGGGGAAACCACAGTGTCCCTGTGGTGCATGTGGGGAAACTGAGGCCCAGAGCTTCTCCGTGATTTGCTCCACAGCTCAGAAGTGCAGATTCAAGTCCCGAGTTAGTCTTTAGAACAAAGGCCGCCTGGCCACCTGGGCCCACTCCTAGGAGCCACACGGCATGGTCATTCTCAAACAGCATTCCACAGAGCGCCAGGGGTTCAGGATTCAAAGAAAGGTGTGATTTTGGGAAACCCATGTTTGGAAAGTGTAAGTTAGCATTCCCAGTGTTTTGTTTTTCTTATTTACACTTTAAAAACATTTGAGGATGTGGGGGCATCAGCTGGTTCTGGGGGTGGAAATCAGGAACTCTTGTTTCTACCCGCAACCTGTCTTTGAACCAGGAAGCCCCGCCTGAGTGTCCCCATCTGGCAGCTGCTGGGGGCTTGCACACTCAGCTCTCCGCAACTTACACGAGTCCCTAAGTCTCTTATGCCCCCTCACCCACCGCAGGATGAAATAAAATCCAGGCTCCCCACTGTCTGACAGGCCCTGCATTGCCCAGCTCCACCCTCCAGGGTCGGCCTCAGGGCCTTTGCACATTCCTCTGCCCACCTCGCTCTCCAAGTCGTTAGTTCCCTGCTCAAGCGACACCTGCTCTGGGAAGCCCCTCCTCCAGACCCCCAAACGAGGCAGGCCCCCGTGACACCCCTCCCTCCCCATAACTGCTCCTGCCGCGGCCGCTCCGCGGGGCCAGCATCCGTGGCATAAGCCTCTTCCGGGTCCGGCCTCCCGGTCGGAGGCTCGCGCCTGCCACCCGGCGGCCGAGGCTGGGGCTGCGGATTCCCTGCGCCCCCCGCCACCGCTCGGGGACTCGTTCAGGCGGTTGTCCACCCGGCCTCTCCTGGACCGCGGCGCGGGGCCGGGGGACCCCCGAGCTCCGTCCTCCTCTGGGCCGGCTCGCGCTCCCGCGAGCCCCCGGCGGCTTGGGAGGGGGGCTTCGGGCGCGGTGGAAGGCGCCCCCGCACCCCGCAACGCCGCCCGCGGGGCCGCGGCTCGGGACAGTCACGCGATCTCCCCTTCCGAGTGGATTCTAACTTGTCCGCGTTTTTCACAGACGCTGTTTTGAGACACGGCCTGGGGCCGGCGGCTGTGACCCGAGGACCCCGCGCGGCCTGCACCAAGTTCCCGAAATGAAAGAGGCGCCGGGGGAGGCGGGCGGGGGGTCCGCGAGCATGCGGCTAGCTCTGTCCGGCACGTGTGCAAGGCATTACCGAGGCCTGTGCGTTGGCCCTTTATTATTTGCACATTAAAAAATAAAGGGATCGGAGGAGAGGAGGGGCGCCTGGGCGGCTCAGGTCATGGTCCCGGGGTCCTGGGATCGAGCCCCGCATCGGGCTCCCTGCTCGGCGGGAAGCCTGCTTCTCCCTCTGCCGCTCCCCCTGCTTGTGTTCCCTCTCTCGCTGTGTCTCTCTCTGACAAATTAAAAAAAAAAAAAAAACCTAAAAAAAAAAAATAAATAAAAATAAAGGCATCCGAGAGGGTAGGTCACTCGGTGAAAAGCGCCCAGCGGAAACGGCCACGCCAGTCCTGCAGGCTGCAGGTCTCCACAACTACTTGGGGGCGCGGCCTCACCCCAAGATCCCCAGCCAGGCGTGAGCCCCCCGACTCGCCGCCGGGCGGCGGAGGAGGCCCAGGGCGCAGGGGAGCCCCCGCTCGCAGCACGTGGTAAGCGCCGGCCGCTCGCGCAGCGGCCCCGGGCGGCGCAACGTGGGCGGCGCTACGTGGGCGGCGCTCTAGCCCCGCGGCGCAGCGGCCCGAGTCTCGCCGGCGTGACGCACTTCCGGGGCGTGGCAGGCGGCAAGATGGCGGCTCCCATGGAAGTGGCCGTGTGTACGGACTCGGCGGCCCAGCTGTGGAGCTGCGTGGTGTGGGAGCTGCATTCGGGCGCCAATTTGCTCACGTATCGCGGCGGCCAGGCCGGACCCCGCGGCCTGGCGCTGCTCAATGGCGAGTACCTGCTGGCGGCGCAGCTGGGCAAGAACTACATCAGCGCCTGGGAGCTGCAGCGGAAGGTGCGGCGGCGCGCACCCGGCCCGGGTTTCGGGGAGAGTGCGCGGGGCGCCCGAGAGTGGGGTCCGGGGAAGGGTCGGGGGGGGCAGCACGCCCCCTGAACCGGGGTGGGGATGGGGCGTCTCGGTTAGGGTGTGCTGCGCTTGCGTGGGTCTAGGGGCGTTTTGGAGGCTGGAGGCGCGCGCTGCGCACGCGCAGGGCTGAGGTTGGGCTCCTTGGGGAGAGTGGGGTGCGGGTCTTTGGGGCAACCGTTCTTGAGGGGCTGGGGAACTGGGGAGAGCCCTTGGGGTGCGAAATTTAATTAAAGGGAGGACTCTCATTTTTGGAGTTCCGTGGGTCTCTTGGTCTTGGTGAATGTCCGAGGCCCGGGAGGGTCATGCATTTATTTCCCCCAAAGGGAGTACTGCC